CTAGGAGGCACTTGAGATCCAATTTCTTTTCCAGGAGGTAATTCTTCACACTAGGGCCAAACACTTCATTGAACCACTCGACGAAAATTTCCCTTGTGACCCATGCCTTACTATTAGATCTCCAAAACACGCACAATTTACTCTTCATAACATTGTTTTTCTTGAACACTCTGGGATTTTCAGAATGGTACACTAGTAACGGCTTCACTTGAAATCCCCACTAGCATTAGCACAGAACATGAGCGTCAGCCTGTCTTTCATAGGCTTGTGTCCTAGCAGTCCCTTTTCCTCCTGAGTAATGTAGGTCCTCTTTGGCATTTTCTTCCAAAAGAGGCCTGTTTCATCACAATTGAACACTTGTTCAGGTTTCAGTCCTTCAGCCTCTATGTACTCCTTGAATTCACTTATGAATTTTGTAGCTGCAATTTTGTCCAAACTGGCAGCCTCACCATGCCTTATCACACTGTGTATGCCACTATGGTTCTTAAATCTCTCAAACCAACCTTTGCTGGCCTTAAATTCACAAATATCAGTACTCATTGCAGGCAATTTCTTTACCAGATCGTCATGCAACTGCCTAGCCTTTTCACAAATAATCAACGTCATAAGACTATCTCCTGCTAATTGTTTCTCGTTTATCCACACCAATAATAATTTCTCAACCTCTTCGAGTACTGGTGATCTCATTTTTGTCAGCATATTTATTTCCTTTTTCTTGGCCATGATGGAAGATATGGTTGTACGGGATTTGTTATACATCCTGGCCAGTTTGGCCACATGTATGCCACTTTTATATTGTTCAATGATGTTTTTTTTAAATTCAATCATATTTCTCACCTTTTTTACCAAAGGCTTGGCACTAGGAGCTTTCTTTGGAGCCATGGTAGCTTATTTAGCACTTGCAAGCAATAAAATGAATGAAATATTATGAAATATTTCATATGAACACGTGAGAGGTCCGTCACTCACTGGTAAACAATGGCACACTGACTGGGAAGGGAGGCCGAGGCGGATCAGAGCCGTGAGTAAGCGTCCAGGACGAACGACGATTAGCAAGTCAACCGACCATTTGTGAGCCAATGTTTGGACTAAAATAACGCAACGATTTCTGAAAAGGATGACTATCGAGCCCGACTATTATCGAGGGACCACTGTACTTAATTTGCTTACTGAACCATATGTAGTATATGTGGAGTTTTACACCCAAGTTTTATACCCAAGCCCCACTGATGATTTTCATCACAGTGGGGCTTTAGGGGACTGAGGGATTTTTTTTTTTTTTGAGGGGGGGGGGGGGAACTGAAACCCGGAAGTCTCCCCTTGCTGCCACCACGGCAGGCAGAACAAATAAAACGAGATTATGAATGCTTGGGATGTACAGCCACGTCTAGTAGGTTATTCCTATTCATAACACCTGATAGTGAATTCCACAAAGTGATTTTTCTAAGATGTCATGGCTGGCTGGAATTAGTGCCAGCTTCTTTTTATGAAGCCCTGCTTGACATATAGCCCAGAATATACAAATCACACTAAAAATGGTATTTCCATTAGCCATTGCTTCAAATATTTCAGTGAGCCCTCAGAACTTACCATACCAAGACAGGTACCTCTCCACAATACAGTGGACCCCCGGATTACGACGTCATCGGATTACGTAAAATTCGGATTAAGTAATGTTTTGCGTCAAAATATTGGCTCGGTTAACAACAAAGAGCTCGGTTAAAGTCATTCGTCTTGAATGTGTCTGTGCGGCCTGAGCGACCTGGCCACTCCATGTACAGCCAGTGTGTCATTGTTTACAAGCCAGTGAGGACGATTCCACGTGTACATGTGATACATTTTGTATTATTCCATTGTTTTTTGTGCTTGTAACTGCTAAATAAGCTACGATGGGCCCAAAGAAAGCTTCTAGTGCCAGCCAGCCCCTTTGGTAAAGGGCTGAGAGAGAGGGGAGAATGTGCCTTTTTCAGTGTGGATCAACGAGAAACAATTATCCGAGAAACAATTAACCCCAGAGGATTAGCCACCCAGGATAACCCAAGAAAGTCAGCGCGTCATCGACGACTGTCTAACTTATTTACATAGGGGTCCTTAATCCTGTCCCCCCAGGATGCAACCCACACCAGTCGCCTAACACCCACGTGAACAGGAAAGAATGCCTGAAACTAGTGCTCATATTGGTGATTTTAAGGCCAGCAAAGGTTGGTTTGAGAGATTTAAGAATCGTAGTGGTATACACAGTGTGATAAGGCATGGCAAGGCTGAAAAATTCCAACCCCAACAAGTATTTAGTTGTGATTAAACAGGCCTGTTTTGGAAGAAAATGACAAATAGGACCTACATTACTCAGGAGGAAAAGGCACTCCCAGGACACAAACCTATGAAAGACAGGCTAACTCTAATGTTTTGTTGTAATGCTAGTGAGGATTGCAAAGTGTATCACTCTCATCACTCACCATATCTCCTCACTCATCAAGAAGTCTTCAATAAAGGTAAGTGTCACTTTATTATTTATGTATTTATTCTGCGTGTCTCATTGTTTTCTGTGTAGGAAAATGTATATTTCATGTGAAAAATTATTTTGTTTAATACTTTTGGGTGTCTGGAACGGATTAATTGGACTTCCATTATTTCTTATGGGGAAAAATAATTCGGATTATGACAGATTCGGTTAAAGACACACTCTCTGGAATAGATTAATGTCGTAATCCGGGGGTCCACTGTACAGACCAATTAATGAGTTATGAATTTCGTTCACTGGCAATTAAGTACAGTATGTACACCAGGGGTTACATTTCTAAAAATCACCATTTTAATCTAAATTAGTGCTTACTAATCTAAAGAACATATGAAAAACAAGTTTCATTACACAGACCTCTCAAGAAACCAAAGAACTTTTTTAAAATATCGTAAAAAGTGAAAAAAAAAAAAAATATTGACCATATTAGTTGCTGCTGTTGACAAATAAGTTTATGGAGACTGTTGATGTTGCACTACTGGGTTCAGGTAAATGGCTGTGGCTTGTGTGTTGCTGTGGATACAATATTTTGTAGTGCATCACTTGCTATATTTCTCCCAGCAGTACTTTATACAGGTGATAATAAGGCATCATCACCTGCTCCAGACCCAGCTTCTAGATATGTTAGGGTCCTTTTTCAGCAAAGAAAGCTGTCAAATATATATTTTTGTGAAGGCTCTCCTTCCCTCTCATACAGTTTTAGTATAGGATATGCCCTAATGCTGTATCATCTGAGCACTAAGAATAACCCTCTTCCTTATTTTTCCTCAATTCACACATTCAGTAACTTTTCTGTCTTGATTTAGCTGTACTGACCTTTTTTGTCACACTTTTCAGCAGTCATTACACAAGCTCTTATTTTCTTCTCATCCCTTCTGGCTACAAATGAGTGCTGTCTCCATGACACATGAACCTACAGTAAGCATGTATAAACCCTCATGCATAAGTCTTCTTGGCACCTCAGCATCACTACTACAAATATTCCTCTTGAGTACCATGGTTAATATCTTAGAGACAGGTTGGGGTGATGAAAATATCATCCAAAATAGAATGATAAACATAGGAGTCACTATTACACATGACATTCCCAGGAAGTAACTAGTGGTGCAGATAGCAGTGCTGGTGGAGAAGGGGAGGTGCCTCCCTCCAAAATAATTTCTGGATTGTACTGAACTCGCCCATACACCATGCAGGGCAGAAGGAAAAAAAAAAGTCACAGCATGCATTACCAGCATTACTCATTCTAGATTGATCCTTTCCTGCTTTACAGCATTCAATACTGATCATTTTCTCATGCTGTATATTTTCAAATATAATTTCTCAGTCATGCTAAGAAAATCTTTGGCAGTCTAATTGCATTATAACTGACAATTTACTGTACTCTCGAGATTCCACCTGCCTTTCAGTTGCTGCTGCTTTCATCATCATTAGGGTGTTGGTGGTAGGATTCCTGGTGCCTTGTCAAACCCTACACCAACTGTAATTTTTTGTCAAAATGCTTTAATATCTAAGAGAATAATACACAAGGTCTAACAAATTTGCAGATTTCCTTATTTTGATTATCCAACATTTTTACTGATGGGCATCCCAATAATATGGTAGATTTAAGTACCCAAATCTCTTCTGGCTTGATGACATTTCCATAACCATATCTCTATTTAGGTTATTATTTCTTATGAATGTCATGGTTATCCAGATTACCGTTACTGTAATACATATACGTATTACAGAGATTTTTTTTTTTAATAACACACTGGCCGATTCCCACCAAGGCAGGGTGGCCCGAAAAAGAAAAACTTTCACCATCATTCACTCCATCACTGTCTTGCCAGAAGGGTGCTTTACACTACAGTTTTTAAACTGCAACATTAACATCCCTCCTTCAGAGTGCAGGCACTGTACTTCCCATCTCCAGGACTCAAGTCCGGTCTGCCGGTTTCCCTGAATCCCTTCATAAATGTTACTTTGCTCACACTCCAACAGCACGTCAGGTATTAAAAACCATTTGTCTCCATTCAATCCTATCAAATTCACTCACGCATGCCTGCTGGAAGTCCAAGCCCCTCGCACACAAAACCTCCTTTACCCCCTCCCTCCAACCTTTCCTATGCCGACCCCTACCCCGCCTTCCTTCCACTACAGACTGATACACTCTTGAAGTCATTCTGTTTCGCTCCATTCTCTCTACATGTCCAAATCACCTCAACAACCCTGAATTTGTAGTTTGTAAGTTAGTTGGGATTACCAAAACTGTTGTCCAGGAAGGGTATTACAGAGATATTTTCTACAAATCACAAAATGAGCTCAACTCTTGAAACAAAATTTGTTATGCAGACTTCATTATAAGTTATATAAATATTTCACTCAGCAGAAACTCTAAGAACATAATGTCCCATTAATCTGTAGGAACAAATGTATGTCTAACACATTTGTGCCCTTTGACTATACTTATTTTGTCTGCTACAAATCAATGTTTACTTACTCTTGACGTGGAGGCTGGTAATTGTGAACTTGTAAGAATGCTAATAAAGCTGGTGGAGTTGGCTGAAGCAGAAGAGTGGAATGTAGCCAGAGTTCTAATCCTGCTCGACGTGTCTCCAGTACTTTAGGGGTTGTGTTTCGCAAGCGTTTGGGAGGAAATTCTGCCGTTTGATACAGCTTGTGCAACTGAGAATAAATAAATATAGTATATAATTACAATTTTTTTTTTTTACCTCTGGTGCAAGTATCATGCAACCAAATAATTTTCATGTATTTATAAATGTATGAATACAGTAGGGCCCCGCTTTACAGCATTCTGCTAATACGGACATTTCAAATTACAGTGGAACCTTGAGTTTCATACTCCATGACTATCGTACGCTTCAAGTTTAGAACCGTTTTGTCAGCTCAATTTTGTCCCGAGTTTCGCACTGTGCCCCATGTTTTGTCCCACGTACCAAAACTGTCCGCCTGCCTCCGCAGTTGTGAGTCAGTGTGACTTTGTTTCTCAAGTGAATATAAACATTTACATTAATCCATCTATGATATTTTCTTCAAAATTATATAAGAAACATGTTACATAGTATATATATAAAAGCATGCAATGTTTATATGTGAGGTATGTTTAATAATAATCACTCTTGGGCACATTAAATGTCTTATATTAGGTTAATATAGACATTTTCATTAACCCATCAATGATATTTTCTTAAAAATTATATAAGAAACACATTACATAGCATACAGCATATAAACATACAATGTTTATATGTTATCAAGTGGTGAGTAGCGGCGTATCAAGGAGGGTGGAAGGTAAACATTACGTTTTCTCTGATGCAAGCTACCTACACTGAATTCCTACAAATAAATGCTACTCACTTCTCGCTCTACATTAAGACTACAAATATTTTAAGATAAGTAATGAATGTACTGTAGCAGTAAAAGACAAAGAAGGGAAATAACACTAGAGGGCTTTGATACCTGAAACCCTTATGGAGGGGGATTCCCAACTCCCTGGAATGGATTAACTGTATTTACATTAATTCTTATGGGAAATACTGCTTCGACTTTAGAACATTTCGATTTTAATACTAGCTCCTGGAATGGATTAAGTCTGAAACTCGGGGTTCTACTGTATGACCAAAACTCGCTATATGGCTCCCCCCCCACCTGACTTTCTAATACGGTCACCGCGCCCCACCCGGTTTGTTTACATTCTCCATGAGCTCTGTAAGCACCACCTCTCTCCATTATGTCTGGAAACTCCAAAATTTCAAGCGTTTTTAAAAGTTATTTCATATTCCATATACAGTGGAACCTCAAATTTCGAACGTACCACTTACCGAACTCTTCGAAAATAGAACGCTTTTTTCGAACCAACTTTGTCCCTAGTATCGAACTCGCCCCTTTTTTCGAACCACCGGGTACCGGACCTGTCCGGCAGCCCGCTATGTCTGCGTCCCCACGCAGGCACCGTGAGCCAGTCTGGTTTTGTTGATGCTTGAGTGAACACTAACCTGTGCTCTCATTCAAACATTTTACGATTATTTCATTGTGTTTAGTGCTTGTGGGACTGTGAAATAAGCTACAATGGGCCCAAAGAAACTTGCTAGTGGTACCCCTGTGGTAAAGAAAGTGAGAAACACCATAGATGTGAAGAAGGAAATAATACAGAAGTGGAATGATGTCCAAATGTTTGTGGAGAAGTATCACCCTGACCAAGCTGAAACAAGTCATCTTTGCAACAAGTTCAGTGACAGAACCATATCCCATTTTAGGGAAATCTTAAAGAGGCACCAGAAACAGAGGACTGTGGACAGTTATTTTGTGAGACAGGGGTCCAGTGACTCTCAAGCTGGTCCTAGTGGCATTAAAAGACAGAGAAGGGAAGTAACCTCAGAGAGGGCTTTGATACCTAAAGTCTTCATGGAGGGGGATTCTCCTTCCAAACACTAACCCCAACTCCCTCTCTCCTCCTCCAATCTTCAATAAAGGTAAGTAAAATGTTATTTTATATGTTTATTTAAATTTATTAATACATAATTGAACACTATATTTGTTGTATGTAAAACTATAATTAATCTCTATAAAATGTACTCTTTTGTGAATATTTTTGGGTTTCTGGAACGGATTAATTGTATTTCCATTATTTCTTATGGGAAATATTGCTTCGCTTTTCAGGCTTTTCGAATTTAGAACTAGCTCCTGGAACAGATTAAGTTCGATATTTGAGGTTCCACTGTACAGTGGACCCCCGAGTTTCGTCGGCTTCGACTTTAGTGAAATCTGACTTTCGGCAAGTTTTTTCGGCAAAATTTAGCCTCGTGGTTCGTGATTGGACTCGTGATTCGGCGACTGTCTGGTGCCCGTCCGCCCGTCACCGCGCACACAAAGCCAGTCTCCTGCACCATTCACACTCAGTGTGCCATTGTTTGCCAGCACGTGACCACGCCGCGGGTTTATACAATACATTTCATAATAATCCATTGTTTTTTGTGCTTGCAACTGCTAAGTAAGTCACCCTGGGCCCAAGGAAAGCTAGTGCAAGCTTTTTGGTAAAGAAAGCGAGGAACACGATCGAATTTAAGAAGGAAATCATTGAAAAATATGAGAGTGGAGTGTGTGTTACAGAACTTGCCAGGATGTATGGCAAACCCCATTCAACCATCACTTCGATCATGGTGAAGGGAAAGGAAATAAAGTGTGCTGTTGTTGCAAAAGGGGTAGATATGCTGACAAAGAAGAGATCGCAAATCCTCGAAGAAGTGGAAAGGTTATTGTTGGTGTGGATTACCCAAAAACAGTTAGCAGGAGATAGTATTATGCAGTCAATAATACGTGAAAAGGCAAGGCAGTTGCATGACGATCTCATAAAGAAAATGCCTGCAACAAGTGGTGATGCTTGTGATTTTAAGGCAAGCAAAGGTTGGTTTGAGAGATTTAAGGAGCGTAGTGGCATTCACAGTGTGGTAAGGCATGGCGAGGCTGCCAGTTCTGACAGAAAAGCAGCTGAGAAGTTTGTACAGGAGTTTAAGGAGTGCATAGACACTGGAGAATTCAAATCCTAACAAGTGTTTAATTGTGACGAAATAAGGCCTCTCTTGGAAGAAAATGCCAAAGAGGACCTATATCACGCAGGAGGAAACAGCACTCCCAGGACATAAGCCTATGAAGGATAGGCTTACTCTCATGTTTTGTAGTAATGCTAGTGGGGATTGCAAAGTGAAGCCTTTACTGGTGTATCACTCTGAAAATCCCAGTGTGTTCAAGAAAAACAGTGTCACCAAGGGTAATTTGTGTGTGATGTGGAAGGCTAACAATAAGGCATGGGTCACAAGGGGAATTTTCCAAGACTGGTTTAATGAAGTGTTTGGCCCCAGTGTGAAAAAATACCTCCCGGAAAATAAATTGCCACTTAAGTGCCTCCTGGTAATGGACAATGCTCCTGCTCATCCTCCAGACTTGGAAGAGCAAACAGTGGAGGAGTTTAGTTTCATCACAGTGAAGTTCTTGCCCCCTAATACAACTCCTATCATCCAGCCCATGAACCAGCAGGTCATTTCAAACTTCAAAAAACTGTACACCAAAGCAGTGTTTGAAAAGTGCTTTGAAGTGACCTCAGACATTGAATTGGCCCTAAGAGAGTCCTGGAAAGATCACTTCAATATCCTCACTTGCATAAACCTTATAGGTAAGGCTTGGGAAGGAGTGACTTGCAGAACTTTGAATTCTGCTTGGAGAAAACCGTGGCCAGAATGTGTACAAGAGAGGGATTTTGAAGGGTTTGGTGCTGACCCTAAGGAGCCTATGTCAGTTGTGGAATCTACTGTAGCATTGGGGAAGTCCCTGGGGTTGGAGGTGAGTGGCGAGGATGTGGAAGAGTTGGTGGAGGGCCACAGGGAAGAGCTAATCACTGAAGAGCTGCAAGAGCTTCATCTGCAACAGCAAGAGATTACAGCTCAGGAAATTGCTGCAGAGGAGGAGGAAAAGAGATGGAGGACGGTGCCTTCTTCAAAGATTAAGGACATTTGTGCAAAGTGGACTGAAGTGCAAACATTTATGGATGAACTTCACCCTAACAAAGCTGTTGCAGGCCGTATTGGCAACATGTACAATGACAGTGTTGTGTCCCACTTCAGACAAATCTTAAAGAAATGCCAGAAACAGAGCTCACTGGACAGATATTTTGTGCAACAAGGGTCCAGTGACTCTCAAGTTGTTCCCAGTGTCTTTAAAAAATAAAGAAGGGAAGTAACCCCAGATAAGGACTTCGTACCTGAAGTCCTAATGGAAGGAGATTCTCCTTCCAAACAATAGTGACTCACGAAATCGTAATGACACGATTGCAAACAAACCATACCACAGGCGGGATTTGAACCCTCGGTCAGAGAGTCTCAAAACTCAAGACCGTCGCGTTAGCCACTGGACCAGCTAGCCTCAATAAGATTCGCCCAACTAGGTATATTTCTACACCATAGGAAGGTTAGCATAGGCACCACTGTGACCACAAATGCAAGTTTTTACAGACGAATCTCCAGCTAGCGTGGCCATGATGAACTCTAGCTCAAGTCCCCTCAATGCTGTCTGCCAGCTTAGTTCATATTTTGCGGCACTCAGGTGCTGCCCTCTCTAGGCCTGCCCAGGTCAGTGGGACGCTGGTCCCACTCGCACTCACTCACTCAGCGGCCCAGACTCAGACAACAAGTCTACTCCCTCTCTCCCTCGTGGGTATGGCCCTCCCAGGCCATGGGCACAAACACACGAGCCTGCGCACCCACCATGACTTTGCAAATAAAGTAAGAAGCCTCCAAAGACGTTTATAATTGAACCCTGCTTTCAGCTTGTCAATTAACTATTAAACAATAAGAGGGGCCTGGAGACGTGACTAATGAACAGAGGATATGTTATTTTAGTGCCAAGAATGTCTGCATTGTTTATTCTGGACCCTATTTTGAAATTGGCATCTTTTTTAATTTGCATTAAATTGGCCAAATTGCCAATTTCTGACCACTTTATTGGGTAGCTGAAATCGGTAAATGGGCAGTTTCTTGTACTCAATTGATAGAAAAAATGGAGTTTGGTTGACTGGAACAATGGAATTGGCTGAAAATAGGGCTCAAAGTCGGCGAAATCCCCAATGCGTATATATTGCCGAGATCGCTAACTTCACGGGAGTGTAATTCCCT